AAAGAGTTTTTCTTTCTCTTTTTTGTTTGAGATCAGAGCCGTTTCTCCCAGGTATTGAGGGAGATGGGAGACAAGTTGTCTCTCCAAGACTGGACTTCTTGAAATGTGTAAGTTGGGAAAAGTTTAGATAGTCCATTAGGGTTTATTGTTCTCCTTCTTTAGGGATTTGGAAATCACGTCTGATCTGACTAATTGTTTTTCTCTTTTGGGACTAATGATTACAGCCCAGGGATTTTCCCTGAGTCTGTCACTTCATGGCTATCTAATACCTAGTCATTTATTATGCTTGCAACAGTGGTTTTGTTTTGATAATAAAAGAGTTTTTCTCTTTGTTTTGATTAACCAGTATTGGTTGATTGTTGTGTCCTTACGTTTATGTGCCTAGTTACCCAGGCAAAGTCCATTGTTCTCTGCAGATTTCCTCAGTTTGTTTTCCCAACTCCAAGCAAAACAGAGGTTGGAGATGGGGGGAGAGCTTTACTTTAGGGAGAGGATTCCCAAGAGACCTCTTCCCTGGAAAAGGGTTTATTTTATATGTTATTAACCCACTTGGGTGGTGGCAGCAGTTTCTTTTGGGTCTTAGGGAAACCCAGTTTATCTCTGGGAAGTTACAGTGGCAGTTCTTCAGAATCTCTACACTCAACGTGTCAGGTTGGGAAATTGAGCTGTGACACCTAAAGTGCATTGCACTTCGTGAGAAGCACTTGAAGACGGATGGACTACTCAATGGTAACTTGAGTTCTTCAAGATGTGTTTTCCCTGTGCATAGTGCACAATTCACTCTTTTCCCCTACTGTCTGATTTCCCCTGCTGGGGTCAAAAGGTAGAGAACGAGCTCAAATGGCAGCAGTCAGCAGTCTTTATTTCTGTAGTGTGGAGTCAAAGAGTAAGGAACATCTATGAACCAGATAACACTATTAGGCAAAAATCTGTGGTTCTAGACGTAGAGATTGCATTTGCAACTTTAAGTACATGACAGATAAGGACAACACTGCCATGCTGTCTCAGATGAGTCACAGGTTGAGGGAGTAATTTCAAGTCAGGTTGTTAAAACCAGGCAGACACTCCCAAACTGGTGATATATGGCTGGTTAGAATTTAATCAAACCAGCAATTTATGCTTCTTCTTCGAGTGATTGCTGATGTGCATTTCAAGTGCACAGTCATTGAAAAACTTTTCCCTAGCAGGAACCCATAGATGAGCAGGAGAGACCCCTAGAGTGGCGCCAGTATGGCAAGGTATATAGCCCCCTGCCAACTATCCCCTCGCTGAGTTACTTCTTACCGCCAGTGACAGTCATTGGAGCTAGCTTCTCTTGCCTCGGGCAAGTGTTTGTTCCCTAGCTATTGTTCGTAGATAGTTATGTCTTTCAAGTTAGTTATTTGTTAGCAGTTGATAGTTCTCTGCAGGGATTCTATGTTCTTCCCTGCTATTTGCAGGTCGTGGGACCGGACCAATCAGCCTCTGTGCAAAGCACACCATTGTCAGTGAGAAGTGCACTGGCTCTGCATAAGGAGTCGAAGAAGACCTCTCAGCACCAGTGATCATCTGCACCAAAGGCCGCTTCACAGCACCACTCCTATTCTCCAGTGCAGAAAAAGCAGCAGAGGCGAGAAAGGATCAGGTCCCTTACTTCAAAGGCTTGGAAATCCAAGGGGTTGCATTCTGAGTCAGAACACCCTTTTAAACAACCCACCCTTCTGGCACCATGAGTCTAGCACCACAGCTGATTCCATCAAGTCCGGTACCAGTGGACTCTGTCACACTAGAGCCAAATGGGAGATGTGGATATGCCTTCCAGTCCCAAAAAATATGAGGCAGCCTGGGACCGCATTGAGTTAATATCTGGATGGTTGGCGTCTCCAAGTAAGTCCCTGTCAGGATGGCCAGCACCGTCACCAATATTAGGATCGGTTCAGTCAAGAGGGAAACCCCCTATCTTGAGGAGGTCACCTTCACCTCGGCACCGTTTGCTTAGTTGGGACTGTTTGCCTTGGCATTGATCCCAGGATAGCTCCTGTACAAGGTGGAATCCTCCCGGTAATCTCACCCTGCCAAAAAGGCCACTTTTGTGGTACGTTACCACTTCCCTGTGGTCTCCACATTCCACATATATGTCAGAGTTGGAACCAGAGTCTCGTAGGTCCAGGTGGTGGTGCTTCTCATTGCATAGTCACCCATAGAGGAGGCAGGAGGTGTCAGTGTTGTGGCCTGCTCAGTGACAGGTGCCACCCCATTAGCACTTCTGGACCCCCTGGGCCTATTACCAGGCACAAACACTTGGTTTGAGGTTGATGTCAGTGGCTCTATCAGCAGGAGCACCCATCAGTGGCCTTAGGAAGAGATCCCTCCATAGGGGTTCAATCTTCCTCCCAGCAGAAGGCTCAGAATTTGGGCCTACAAAGAGGATGTCATCAAGGACAGAGATCCTATGGTGGAAATTTTGTCATCGGGGGTGGGGGTGTCTAGGGCAGCACTCCCTTTTATCAAGACATTATCCTCCACCATGAAAGCCTTGTTGCAAATCCCAGCTTTCATTCCTCCTACTGCCAATGGGGTTGAGCACAGGTACTTTGCCTCATATAAGGGGTATGAGTACTTATATACACACCCACAACCAAGTACTTTGGTGGTGGATTTGTGCCTACTTCTCAATGTGCAAAAGTCAACTCTGGCCCCCACACAGGTCTTAGAGTTGATAGGTGCCCTCATAGACTCTGTGACAGCCAGGGGATACCTTCTCTAGCCCTGTTTCAAAAGTATGTGCGAACTGATATGGGTCTGGGGGCCTTCCCCACGATGGCCTGAACCTGCCTGAAGCTGCTTGGACCCATGGCATCATGCATCTATGTCATCTGCTTCGCCAGACTATTGCAGGCGTGACTGGCCCGGGTATACAGTCCGTCTCGTCATCAGCTGGACAGGGTGCTCACTGTTTCACCATTGGTGATAGAGAATCTTCATCAGCAACAGTGACGATGAGGAGGAGATCTCATTCTCCCCATGACACTCATTGCGAAAGCCAGCTGCACAGATACAGCTACAGCAGCAGATGGCTGAGCCCCAGATGTGGTAGCCTTTTCCATGGTTCCCTCCCATCCTGCTCCCACAACCTTGGCAGGGATGGGACCCTTTTGGTACCTTAAAATCTCAAGTACCGGCACCTCAACTGATGCCACTACCCAGGCCTCAGATAGTGGCCCACAGGCCCCCTATACCCATGAAATCTGACATAATGCAGGAGGAAATAGTGGACTTGCATGATTCTCAGGGCAAAGATACATTATATCCATTGCACATCTTGTCCTCTTCCCCTGATAAGACATTATTGCCCCCTATGCCAACTGTGAGGCACAATTTCAAGTCTTCTCAAGGCTTATACAAAAGGGTGGCTAATACCCTCAACATCTTATTGGTTAAGCTTCCCGAGATGCAGCACAAACTCACCAACATATTACAGACCTCACCTTCATCAAAGATTGCACTGCCAGTCAATGAGGCCATATTGAACTCAGCAAAAATCATATGGCTAACACCAGCTTCTATTTGCCCCAACATCCAAAAGAACAGACAGGAATTATTATATCCCAGCGAAAGGAGCTGAATTTTTATTCACACACCCAGCACCAAATTCCTTGGTTGTTGATGCATCCAGCAACAGAAGCAAACAAATGTGATATAAATCCACCCCTTATGACAAGGAATAGAAGAGGCTTGATATTCTGGGCAGAAAATCATATTTATCTGCCCTCCGTCCTGAGCAGAATAGCTAATTATGAGGTGCTGTTAGCAAAGTATACATATCAGCATTTTGAGAACATGACCAATTTTATTGAATGACTACCTGACGATAGTAAGGGTTCCTTGCAGTCCAACATAAATGAGGGCTTCCTTA